AGCTTTTAATTGCCCTCCCACACAGCGTGGCCTTATCACCTGAGCTAGTATCCCTCTCGCTGTGCCTCGTCACACCTCTCCTTCCAGGTCGGTGCTGCTGGTGTCGGTGAAAGGAAAAAACCAACGTGCTTGGCTTTAGGTACAAATCCCTCCAGTAACAGGTTCCTGGTGTCTGAAACGGTGAGTCGATTCTGCCTGGGGGGCTGAGATTTACAAACCCTCTCCTTTTCTCTCCTGCAAGGTCCCACTTCTTTGATTATGTAGCTAAAACTATGCAAGAATTACTGTGTGTGTGGGAAAATACATAAATCCCATTGCTAAAGACATCAACATGGGCGGAGGGGGGGTGCCAGGACCCCTGGGGCTGGAGGAGCCCCCATCACCATGTACAGCGGGTGGTTATTCAGGTGTCTCTGGTACCCAAGGGAGATGTATTTACTTCTCCACCCCCTCTGGAAGCTCGGGAAGGTTTCCGCAGCCTGCCGGGAGAGCAGGCCGGCATGGCGGGCCCAGCGGTATCAGCAGCCGTGGGTCTATCGGGCTGAGCAGAAGCTTTTCCAGGAACTATCTAGTGAAACACATGACCGTGGCCCGGCCGAAGGGCGATACGTGACAGGCATTCACCCGGCTCCCGGCAAGTCAGTTGACTTTGTTATTCAAACTATTTTAGTGATGGTTTTTAATCCCAGGCTTAAGTTTTTCTTTTCTTTTTATTCCACCACCCCCCCTTCTTTTTTTCTCTCTGAACAAGGGAATCTACGCTGGCAGGATTGAGAGAGGCACAAAGCGGGGAAAAACAAGTTTCAGCCAGAAAAGGGGGGGGGGAGGAGGATGATGTTAGAATTCCCTCTACGTGAGGGGGTAAAAACATTCTGCTGTGAACTTTATTTTAAAGGGTAAGTGCCAGCAGCAGCGCAGTTACCGCGCAAATAAATCCTGCGCTCGGCCTCTCCCTCTCAGCCGTAAAGTTTTGGTGCTGGGGCTCAGGACTTGGGCTGGCTGTGCCCCCCCTGTCCCCCCCTGCCTCCCCACCCGGGGACAGCCACCAGCTGGGGGGGGCACTGTGAAGCCCCAGACCCCGATAGGGGCCCAGGGGTCTCCTCACGTGTCCTGGCCAGATAAGGTGGAGGGGGTGAGCGCTGCAGAGAGGTGGGCTTGGTGCTCCCTGCCCCTTATCACGAGCATGTTGGGGTGGCTGCTGGCAGCAGAGCCCTTGGCTGTGGCTCCATGACTGGGGACACCCCAGGGCGAGGTAGTGGCCTGGAAAGGGCGGGAATCTCACTCAATCCATCCCCGTGGTGGGCAGGTGGGGAGAGTCTGGCAGCAGACACAGAGCTCCGCAGGCAGCCTGGGCACGGGGCTATCCCTCGGCTCGCTGCTGCAGGCTGGGGAGGGAGGTGATGACCAGGACCCCGGCACTGGGATTTATGGTGGTGCTTCTCCATGGCAGCACAGGGACTGCTTGTGCCCACACACCCCAAAGCTCACCCTGGCAGTCCCGGTGCGCCGGTTTCCTATGAACAAGATTTGAATTTGCGATGCAAATGCCAGGCATGTGGGCACAGCTGCCGGGAGGTGGCCTGGACTGGGTCAGCCACCAGCGCGGCCACGCTGAGATGCTCGGGACAAGGTCCCATGTGCCTGTGGCTGCTCCCAGCCCGGGAACCTGTTTCACACAGGCAACGCTGCCCTGCCAAAGTCATCCAGCCCTCAACATTCCTCCGTGCATCCCGGCAGCTGCACCAAAGCTCGTACAAGGGCACCGTAACTCCCCAACCTGTGCCACCGCTGGGTTCCCCTCTGCCTGCAGCAGAGCTGAGCTGCCCGTGGCAAGCTCGCTTCATCCCAGGACAACGTAGTGCAGGTGGAAGCGGACACTCCATGCATGCATGCAAAAAAAGAAAAAGGAAAAAACCCATGCTTTTAAGCCATTGTGAGGTGATTTAAGCAGTTGTCCTGTGCTACCCTGACCAGTCAGGAGCCAGGCAGCCTCTCACCTGCATGCGTGCACCGCATTTAACTCTTGTCCCTCTAACGCAGCAACCGGTCACCCCGCTTTCCCAGTCTAGCCCCAGGCCAAGGAAGCACTTGGGCTCCTTCTCAGGGGGCTGTGGGCTTCCCTTGCCGCCTGCCATCGCAACCCCGCTTCCACCCGGGAAGCTGGCTGCGGATTTCTTACTCTCCTGCCCAGCCGCAATGTCACGGTTGGGTTTCTTGCAAACAGGAAGGCGGCAGGTTGAGCTGTTGTTTTGATGTGGTTGTTTCCCAAAATGAGCCTGGAGCAAATCTGAGCAGGCTCCAGGAATGGCATTGGGCAGCGGCGGGCTGGGAGATGGGCAGAGGCGTGCTGCTGGTCAGTGCCGCCAGCGCCCTCGCCTCCTGGCACTTTTGGCCACCTTTCAGGAACTTAAGGGTCAGCTAAATGGAAAATCATCACTCTTTTCACTTTAAAAGGCACCGGACACTTTTTTTTCATTGACAAATTAATCTTTGGAGGTCTCGGTCTTCCTATTGACCTGGGAGCCACCAGGACAAAAGCAGACATTCAGCAGTGCCAGAGCCAGGCGGGAGCACTGCCTGAGAACGGGCACTGCAACACGGCTCCCGGCACCATCACCAGCCTCCGAAATCCTCCCCTCCCTCCTCCTCCTCCTCCACAGAAAGACTCATGACAGGGAGAAAGAAGAATTGCTGAATAATCTCCGGCCCCGATAGTACTTCAAAGGCAGGTTTCCTGGGCCAGGCTGCGCTCCTCGCCAGTGCCGTGCTGGATGCGGCACTCAGCTCTTACTCCTTTGGCAGCCCCGCAGCCGTAGCCAGAAACTAATTACTTTAAAAGGAAATAAATGTCACCCGTGTGGTTCTAAGTAAAACCCTTGGCAGGACGAAGAGCCCCCCCCAGGATCTACATTCTCACGCAATATAAGCGAGGGAGGAAGGAGCTGTTTCCATTCATTGAGATGGGCTGTTTACTCTGAGGCCTACTGATGGTGTTAGACCTGACCGCTGTTTTTTTTGCAGGGCAGTTGATCAGATCCAGAGCAGAACCGCTTCTGCTTCCATCCTACAGAACCCTCTTCCCCCAGGATGGCTTTAGGCATGATCGACTTCGGAACACAACATACCCTGGTGCCAAAGATACAGATGGACCAGTTCTGCTGTGACCTTTAGAGAAACGAACTAGGTAACTGACACCTTCAAACAGAACTATTTTACTGACTTTTGAAAGCTGATATCCATAGTTTGTAATGGTCAAAACCTGAGAACCAAACTTCTAAAGCAAGCTGCTGAAGGGAAGGCCAGTGTGGCTGAGTAACACAAAGGAGGGTCAGGGGTCCGAGCACCCTGCCCATGCCCAGACAGATCCAAGATCCCTAAACAGGGCTTTGGCAGACCACTCGCTTTTGCATGGATTCAATTAGGAAAAAACCTTCTTCTAAGCAAGTAACAGAAGGAAAGTGATATCCTGAGGACTCTGGGGTAAGATCTGATCTCAGCTGCCCTGGTTTCCACTGGGGCTGCACTTCAGAACCTCTGCTCCACACAGGCTGGGTGTGAGCGAGCACATGGTGCTGGGCACGAGTGTTCGGGACCGCACACCCCAGGAGCTCAAAAACCCTAAGTGCCAAGAGCGACAGGTGACTTGGGACATGCAGAGCAAGCCATGGCCGATGGGACATGCTGAGAGGTACAGCTGTGCCCACGCAACGGCTGCGCGATGCAGCGCTGGGCCGGGATGCGAGCTGGGGCTCTTGCCAGGCTCCGCTGCAGCGCGGGACGTGCCAACCCACCATGGGCAAAGGCCCAGCGTAGCCAGATCAGGTCAGTTTGAAGGTGCTCCCTGAAGGACTCCAGCCAAGCAAACACGGTACCGTACAGCATCGAGTAATTTTAAAAGTTAAAATAGTTTATTGCTGTTCTTTGTAGAAATGCACTTAACTTACATCGTCTGTTCTCTTCCTTTATTTGGCTGTTGGATTATAGGCATAAAAAGGTTATGTTTACCCATTTGTTCAGTGACATAACACCTTCTCTTTTGCTCCACTCATGATATTCTCCTAAGCTTCGCTGGCCAACAGCCCCAAATCTCTTTTACATAAATACTGTAAATGTCTCCGTAGGTTGCAGCATTGTAACAAAAGATCTACCAAAGTAGACAAAATGTTCGGTATTCTTGGTTGGTTTTTTTGCATTTAAAAATATACCTAAATTTGAGATAATCTTAACAGAGTAACAATTACAATAAGAAAATAGTACAGTGCGTTGACTAAAGGAATATTCCGCTCTCCTTCAAGCCAATATTCCCTTTTGCATGTTGAAGTGATTCAGCAATTACTTAAGAACTTTTACCTACATACAATAATTTAGTAAAATGAGAATTAAACAAGGCAGATACTACTATTCTTCTGTCTGCAATTCACAGCTCATGCGAATAAAATCGCAATAAATATTAAAAAATAGTTTTTCTTTTTTTTTCTTTTTTTCTGTAAGGCATCTCTGAGTATTACAAAGTTTTTGTACAACCAAAAAAATAAGATTGCTTTTTTCCATGTTCTCCGAGTACCTCTGTACCTCAACAGTAATTAAGAGGACTGCAGGTTTGATGAGGAGGGGAGGGCTGACGGGGCAGGGCCGGGAAGAAGACCACAGGTGATGGAAGCAGACCGCGATGCGTGCAAGAATCTGTAGTTTTCCCGTGGAACATTTCAGTTGCTTTCAGAACATCTTCAAGACGGTATCTGTCCAGATTGAAAAAAAATAAAACAACTTACCAGAAGTCCATTTTCATGAGCACAGTCAGACTCCAAAGGTTTGGGTTCGCCCTTAACACTATAAATAGCTTAGGTATTGATATGCACCTATGTAAAGGGGATAAATGGGTGGGGTGATTTGTTTGTTTTGTTTCTTTTCTGGGGTTTTTCTTTGTTGTTTCTGTAGTCCTAGTCGTATCATTCCATTGTAAAAGATTGTCCCGGGTGGCAAAGGCGCGGGCAGGGCCCTTACTGCATGCGGTCAGGCTGCAGCTGCTGGGGCTGGTACTGCACAAAGGCGGTGGCGGGGGCAGCAGGGGTGCTGGCGGTGATGGGGGGCTGGACTGCGCCCGTGTAGCCGTATCCCACGAAGCCGGCAGCGGGGGGGGCAGCGTAGGGGGACTGATCCTAGGCAGGTTTTTTGTGGTGTACTGGGAATAGGCTTGGCTGGCGGTGGTGTAGTCGATGTAGGGAGACGTGATGGACTGCACAGGGGTCGGGATCACCACGCTGGGCTGGATGATAGCTTGGGGGTAAACATAGTGAGGCGTGAGTCTGCGGAGGCAAAGGGAGAGAGTCAGCAAGGGGCTGGGCTCCCGCCAGCCTGTGTGTCCCCCCTCCTTGCCCCCCAAATTCACATGCGCCAGCCACAGGACCGGTGCTGCCCAGCAGTGCTGCCTCTGAGTCGGAGGTGCTGCTCAGGTGGACGGAATGAAAAGCAAAACACTCCTAGACACCGAGGGTGGAGGTACTGCGAGATGAACCAAGAACAGACACACACCCTGGTCTCCATGTCTTGTATCTTCCACTACGCAGGCTGCTGGTCCCCAGAACAACCTCCCTGAGCGGCCATGACACAGC